TCCCCCCCCCAAATTTCTTCCTCTTCCTCCTTCTCTCCCCTTCAACTTTTTTCATTTATCCCCCCTTTGATTTTCTCGGTTCCTGGAGCACTTGGACACCCCATGTTTGGGTTCGTCTAAACCGGGAAAAGGAGACAAACAATCTGGCCCCTACAGATTTTTTAGCCGCGACTTTGTTCGTGTGGAATTTGAAAACACTGCCTTAGTGGGTTCGATTCCGGAGCCGGGCAAAATTCTATAGGGGTTTTCCTAAGATAATTATTTAATACTAGCTGGTACTTCGCGACTTCGTTCGCGTGGAATTTGAAAACGCTGCCTTACTGGGTTCGATTCCCGGCCGGGCAAATTTCTATAGGGTTTTAATGAGACAATTATTTAATACTAAGTTTATTAATACTAAGTTGATAAAAAATGCTATGCAATAGTCAGTCCCCGAGTGTCACACGTCTTTTTTTATGTTTTTATGTAATGTTTCTGGTTTGGTCCCATTCCAATTTGAAGAAAAATTACCACCGCTAAAGGTGGCAAATTAAAGATACGGTTACGAGAATACGGTTTATTACATTGGGCTAGTTGACTCTGGTTATACTAAACTTGGTTAATTATATACTTTAATATCTATTTTATCCCAAAAAACCTATATTTTAAAGAAAAAGTAATATTTACATCACGTATTTTGCATTTAAAAAAACAATTTAAATTTCCCTTGAAAAACGCTGAATAGTGTCATGGCGTCTTGAATGACGTCACAGTCTGCGAAACAAAACTGTATTAAGGTGAGAAAATATGCTAAAAAACGAAAAACAATAAAGAGCAACCTGCTCTTTTGTATAAAAACGTCAACAACAACAAAGATGTTTTGCGTGGTGTGACGTAACACTTTCTGATTGGTGTTCGCTGTCACGTGACTTAATGCCTATTTTCTTCAAATTTATTTTTTCAAAAATATTAATAATCTCTAACTTTTATGAGAAATAAACTAGTTTATTTCTCATCTATGTCTCTTCATTTATAATTTGAAACTATAAACCAAGCAATTTGTTATTAATGGACACAAGCCTATATTAAAAGTTAATTATGACTGTAGAAAACAGCATTTAGAAATCCAACAGTAGGTTTTAAAGAACGTTGCTGCTGTTAGATTAGTCTCCATAACTTTAGGCGTGGATACATATTTTAATAACTATGGACTGCCTTTAACCTAATAGAATCTAACAGAAAAAAATATTTTTGTTAAATAATAAAATAATGTACAAATTTTCTATTTAAATTTATTGTGGGAAACATTTATCCCCTTTATTACTAGCACCTCTTAGCGCATTTAAATATATACCTATGGTGTAATAAAAGAACTATTTTATTTAATGAGTGACCAAGTTCTGATATGATTAGATAGTTCTCACGGCAATCGCCGTCGTTAACCCTAGTTTACAGTCACTGTAGCTACGTCTGAATAGTGAGCTGCTATGCAGTTTCTGCTTTTTAATATATTTTAAGTACAACACCGTTTAGTAAGATGGGCCAGGGAACGCTTGTATAATATATTATGTATTAAATCACAATAGCGAGGAAATACTGTTTTTTTTAATTATTTTCTATTTCTTATATAAACTCTTGCAACATTCTAATATTATAGAATACTATTTGATTTTCCTTTAGGTATCATATAGCGGGCCATTAACTTATCTTTAAAATATAGAAAAAGAATCACAACAGTTATGTCCTATCATAATAAAGTGATAGGCACACGATAAGAAAGTGAAGTCTGATAAATGCCTATTCAAGATTACCAACACTGTATATTACACGTTGCCGGTGGTTTTATTGGAAGAACGGTATTTAAAAAATGGGTGTCTGTATTTCAATGGACTGTGGGGAATGTGACCTTAGTTGCGGTCCTTGTTGTGTTGCGCTTGGTGCTTGCTGTGTCATGTGCCTATGTTGCAAGTGCTGCTGCGAGGAAGAACGGAAACCTGATAATGTCGTCATTGTACAGCAAGCTCCGCCACCACAAGAAATGCCACTTTTAAACCAACCATGACCCACACCCTCCACAAAGTTATCCACACCCTTCCAACCAGTTATCCATATCCACAGATGGTGGCTATCCAGTCGGATTCCAAACCTCCCCAACCTCATGGCTATCCGCAACCCCAACCTGTTGGTGGTTATCCCGGATATCCACCACATCAGAGCTAGTTACTTTTATAGAAGAAATGGATTTTACTTGAGGTAAGGCATGTGACCTGTAAGCTAATTACTTATCATTGATAATGATTACTTTAATAGATTACAAAAGACTAAATTAAAAGAAGAAACTTTGTTGCCCGCCCTAAAACGAATTCGGCACAAGTTATAGTTCAGTAAAGAAACTCACATACCTACATTCATGAAAATATTACACTAACTTCATGACACATGTTTTTACCCGAGAGCTGTAGATAGAACCGTATTACATGCCAACATTTCGCCGAATATAATTTTAGTCACACTTACGTAATAAACATCAAGCCTATTGACGTCAACCGGGAATATACATTCCTTCTTCTTCTTCCAAGTCGATCCCTCACTGCTAAGGATCGTGACTCCCTTTCATCCTGTCAACCATCTGTTTACCTCGGCTGCGATCAGTCGCTCGGTGGAGTGCGACATTTATTGGCATTTCTAGCTGTTCAGCGATCTGGTCTGATCATCTTCTGAGTCTTCTGCCACTGGGTCTCTTCCCTTCTACCCTTCCGGTCACCATCAAACGCTCCAGATGGCCATCATTTCGGCGAGCAACATATCCGAAATATTTAATAATACGTTGCTTGCAAGTTGAAGACAGACGCTGAACACTCTCTATCTTCAGTATGGAAACATTTGTGCGATATGCCGTCCAAGGTACCCTTAACATACGGCGCCAACACCACATTTCAAAGGCATCAATTCTCTGCCTATCAGCGGTTTTGATGCTCCATGTCTCTGCACCACACAGACCAATGGAGAAGACAAGTGTGCGAACGAGATGTATTTTAGTTTTGTTTCTGATATTTCTGTCCCTCCATACTTTGTTCAGTCGAGTCATCGCTGTCTTCGCTAAGCCGATCCCTCTACGTATTTCAGTTTCGCAGCTGCCACCAGAGCCAAGATACTGAAACTGGTTCACCGTTTCGTACTCCTGCAGAAGGTTGGTTCGCTGGACTGACGCGAAACGGTTGATTACCATCAGCTTGGTCTTCGATTTGTTAATGACAAGAGCCATTTCTACTTCTGATGAGGTGAAGAGGGTGTTGTCATCGGCGCGTTATGTACATATATTAAATAAAATGGGAGATATCAACGCATCCCTGTCGAACGCCCTTTCCGAACTTGAATCATATATTCCTTAATACATACATATTATAGAAAAATAACACCTAGATACAAAACGAATGTTGTCGTGCTCAACACACAACTTAGCAGTCAGGTTCGATAACCACTAGACCGACAGTTCCGTATGTTATTACTCTTGATGGCTTTCGACCAGACGAAACATTAGGTAATTCAATAGTAGCACTTATTAAGTGGCCTAATTCCCTAAAGTGTATACAATTATGTAACGTATTTCACCATTTTCAACTGATAAGAGGTTCCATACGCGGTATATCGATCAAGATAGTAATTAACACAGTTTGTGTTAACGCCCATTTTCAAATGTCCTAGCGCGCAAGCCCAAAAGAAGAGTAGCTTTTGTATGTAAAGACTGACAACCCTACTCAAAGGAAGGATTCTCCGACAAGGCTGGGTCACCAAGCCTTCTCATCGGGGGGATCTCTTGCTACCGGCCATCATACGTTACATCCATGGTTGGTAGTGACAGATGTTTCACCGCGGTAGCATCCTTCTGCGAAGACGTCATCTCGCAGAAGGAGGCGGCGGAGAGGGCCCGAGAGGACAACCTCCACTCGGAGACTCGGACCCAATCCGTTGACAGCGAACCGGGCGGCGGAGACGCGCTTACCACCGCCTCCGCCGGGTGTGGCCGCGAGTGGACGGGACGGGTTTTCCCTCCACCCGCCATAACGGCCAGCCGCGAGGAGGGTAGGTCCGCGTGTGCCGGACGTCGCCTAAATAGAGAATGTACCCGATGGTGGTGCCCGCGCCGTTGCGGGCAGGCGCTAGGAGGGGTCCGGATGTTTTAAAAACAGCAGTTCCCGGATCCCTCCTATTACAGGCGCAGAGTGGCACATCGTGTTTTTTTAGTCGGTCCAATTCCGACACACCACCCTGCAGTAAACCCCGGCGGGGTGACGGCCCGAGGGGCCACGTAAAAAAACAAACCTGAACCGCGGCCTAACATAATTAGCAATTTTATATAGTTTCGTTCGATATACATATGTTTTAACTAGATAGCGCTGATTTGCTGTAATTGACATATACATTACTTAGATATATAAATCATTATATACACAATTGTTTTGTATTTGTATTTAAATACAGTTATTTTAAATAGTTTATGAATGTTTCCACCATCCGCGGTCTTTATTAAATTTGTTCGATGATCATATATTTAGTTATTTTTATTATATTAAAGACGTCAATCATTGTATTAATTAACAGCACGTACTTAATGTATAAACTTTTCAAAGAGGAGAAACCTTTAATAAATCCTTTTAAAGAAGTTGAACTGACTTCAAGCAATACTCACAAAGAAAGATCTATATGAATTTAAAGTGGGACCGTGTCGGCACCTTTTGAACAAAAAAGATTTGGAAAATCCGTCTATATACGACGGAGTTATGCCCGCACATATATGTCAAAGTCCTAACCAACTTTCTAAAAGATTCCAGTCTAAGAGAAGGTTATCAATTGGGATGTTAATAAATGTTTTTCATCAAATAGAGGTTTATTCATCATAATTATAGCGCTGACCGTCTTTTCAAGAAAGTTCTGATAATTTTATTGATATTTCTGTTTCAGGTTGCTGACGTAGCATACTCCACCTGCACTATCTACGGAAGTGAATCATCTCGTAACTTCGTATACACGTAACCTTAATGGCTTTGCATAGTTTATAATTAATTTTAAAAGTAGGTATTTGTTATGTTTACCTAGTTTAATATATTATGTGTAGTCTAGTAGTATAAGAAGCTTTCCTCAGGAGTCTATCGTTTATACGAATTAATCTAAGACAAAACTGCAAGCTAGATGACGCTATTGGTTGTACGACATTTTCTCTTATATCTTTATAGTTTTTATAAAAAAAAATACGTTTGTTTTAAATGGTTTTCTGTACGTTAGACTAGAAGCACTTTGTTTAAGTAGTTAATAGATACAAAGTAAATAACATAGTTCATCTGGCATATAAAAGAAGCAGAATGTATACTGAATCACTTCAAATTCTGTCTTGAATTTATAAAGATTTTATAAAAAAAATTAAAAGCGTGCAATCCTATTTTAAAATAGTTACCGCAACAATAGGGTGGTTTGACAAATGAAAATTTAGTTTAAAAATAGATAAGAAATTAATATTGTGTACCTGTGTCGATCTATAGTGCCCTGTTTTCAATTGTAATATAGCACAATTCTTTTGTACAGAATCATGCTATTAAGATTAAAAGAATATAACTGGGTTTTATTAAAAATAGGGAATTAAAAAACAAATAAAGAATACGAACATATATAAAATAAAACACAAAGATCATAACTCATGTTACAAAATTCTACAACACTAACGCTAACTTTGTTTTAGTTTTAAAAGTAAAAGGGATGAAGAATATTTTTGTCTTTTTTTCGTAATCAAATTTTTATGTAGAAACTAATAACTATGAAACAATCTACCGATGAAATTTTTTTTTGTTAAATGCTGTTATACCACCGTCAATATTGAAATGTTTTTGGTATAATGGGTTTTTGGTTGATTTTTTTTTTGTACGTTTGTACAAAAAAAAATCAACCAAAAATTAGTCTAGTATAGTAGTTTAGTAAGCAGTAGTTATATATTTCATACTATTTTATTGCTTAATTTTCGGAAATAAACCGAGGGCGATCCATAGGGTAATATCTAACTTCAAATGACTTCGATCAAATAAAAGTATAATGTTTGTATTTGTCATTTTATTAGTATAATAATTTATATGCTTGTGATCATCATGCCAAGAAAAATATGTCAGGACATAGGTTTTAGAGTTTCGAATATGCTGTTTATGATGATAACACACATAACTCTGGATTCTAGACATTTCTATAATGTGTGTTTTAAGGCTTGGACAGTACTACCCAAACTTAAGTGCATGCATAAAATTAATATAGCTTAGACGTCTGTTTATACTAATAACACCAAGGTTAGAAAATAAAGCAAGACTTAATAGGAATTAAAGATCGATGAATTATTTTCATGAGTGTTTATAAATTGAACTCATAATACATTGACGACTGGATGGCGTAGTGGTTTGTGTAACGGACTGCTATTCCAAGGTCGCGGGTTCGATTCCCGCTCAAGTCAAACATTTGTGTGCATGAACATTTGCTGTTTGATTTGGTCTGGGGTGTCTCTATGTATAATATGTATGTATTTACAAAACAAAAAAAAGTATATATGTATTTATATCAGTTGTCTAGTACCCATAGTACAAGCTCTGCTTAGTTTGGGACTAGATGGCGTTGTGTGTATGTGGTAGAATATTATTATTATTATTGTGTAGTTGGATGATGTCGACCTATTTTTCCGTGATTATTTTTAAAGCTGAAATAATATTAAACCATACCTATCTTCAGCAAAACTTTCTTTAAATGTTAAATTCGACCGTCCACCGTCTTTCTATATTTTATTTGTTTAAACTTAATAACTAATTTGTAATCTTGTAATGGTTTTCTTTTTTTTAAAGACAACTCCCGCGCTAGGAATATATCCTGTCTCGCAGGGGACTTTATAAACATACATGAACTCAGAACAACAATTTGTGGAACACACAAAGCGTCGTCCCATGTAGGGATCGAACCCACAACACTCAGCGTAGTAGGAAGCGGCATGACGACCGCTTAAACCACTACTTCAAATTGGCTCTTAAACACTGTTTTCATGTGTAAATCAAAAGTTTAGCTGTAAGCTTCCTTTAATAAAATAATATTCCTATAATAAAGTATTTTCTACATCGTATACAAATATAAAGGATATTTGCAAAAGGCCTGGTTGCATGCTTCGTCACGTCATGATGAGTCAATTCAAATTTAATCTTAAATAAACGATAAGCAACAATACTGATTTTCATGCAGTCTGAAGGAGAGAAAATAGTGAACTTAGAAGATAAATACTCAAAAATATTAGACTTTATAAAATGTGAAGATCCCTTAAAATGGGCGGAAACAATGAAAATTACATTTAAACGTGGCAAGAAGGAAAGACAATTTATCTCAGTTGAGCTTAATTTTAAAATGCCCGACAAAACAAAATTCTTTACTTTATACTTTATATTTCTTTGAAGTGTTTTACATGATATTACCCATATATGTAATATCATTGCTGAATTTTAATATGTACATTTTCTAGATAATCACTTTAATCTTGTTGCATGTGATTAAAATTTTTGATCAAAGTTAGTCGCTTCTGGACGTATAATTTAAGTACCAAGAAATAAGTAGTAAAACTATTACAAAACTGTACTATAATATAATTTCTCAACTATAATCACATATTAGAGTTTTGAGAATTTACTAGAAATGATAGAAATATGATATATATTTAGATAACACATTTGAAGCGTTTAAAGGGAGAGTACTGTAAATTTCTAAATCATTAGTCTTTCACCACATTGCCGGTACAGTAAATTAAAGTTTCCCTAACTGCGAGTGTTTAATATAGTTACTTATAAATTCCCGGATATATAAAGATATATTGTGTATGTAAGCTGCCACCCAAGATACATGCTAGCTGCCTAGTTTGGGTATCGGTCTCAGTACCTAATTTATAAATTAGTAAATAATTGTGCTTATCTTCAAGTCTTATGTATGTAACTTTTGTGTAAATAAATGATTTTATTATTTTATCATTAATTTCATAGTAATGCAAATAAATGAAAATCTGCGTTAACTAAATAATATGCGATATCTCTTGTATCTCTAGATTAGATTAATATTTCAGACTGAACTGTGATACATATGTATGTATGTACATCTTTTTGATATGGACTGAGTAATAATACTCACGTGTGTTTATTTTAAAGGAAAATACTGAAATATTTACATCAGTACTTTCTTAATTTAATAGTACGAGACAATGGGGATTTGTATATCGGTGAAGTGCTGTCCGGATCCAGAACCTCAACCAGACTCCGTCATAGTGGTAGAAAATCCACCTCCTCAAATGTACCCCCCGCCATCCTATTCGTTTCCGCAGCCACCAGACCCAGTGTTGGTAGCAGATAATAATTTTTATCCAGGCGATGGCTATCAGGGGTATCCTCCGCGTCAATAACCGCTATTAAAACAAAATGGATTTGTATTGAGGTAAGTCCTGCTTGTACTCTCATTTTACAACAGTTACTTCACGAACATTTAAAATCCGATTTATTCAACAAGTATATTATTTCTTTAGGACGGACGGGATTAAATCTCCGACGTTTAAATTCAAATATCAACATCCTTAAGATTGGCATTTGATCTAACGTGACGATTTAAAAAATCCTTAATATGTCAGTTTATTATCAATTTATGAAACTGCGATTATGATAATTGCATAACATTATAAAAATACTGTCTGTACCTTAAGTAAGGTTAAATATAAGGCAAAGTAAGAAAAGATTATCGTGCACCTGCGATTTTTAATTTTTTCATTGTATGTTTTTTGTCCATGTTTTACCATTTCATACAACAAATGTAGAGTTATAATTTGTATCGCATTATTTCAGTGTTTGGCATGCGTTCTCCTATTCGTTAAATGTTCTAAACATTAATGGATTGCCACTGTATAGCATTATATGCCATAATAAGGCAAAGTAAGATTAAATCATAAATTTATAATACGCATTGTGTCAAAACTTTATATTCCTGCACTTTTTCTATTTTCATTCTTTCACTTTGCTCATAAAATTTTCTTAAAATATATATTTATGATAGAGAACGGAGGAGAGACGTAGCACGTAGCTGCCAAATGGAAATGTTACACCTAGTGGTCTAGCTTTGTACAAAGATTACATTTATTTAGTAAGTGAATCAAAATAACTGTCAAGACCAACTTAATTTCATCCCGTACTTAAGACAATTTGATAATCTAATACTCAAAGTCTACTACTCAAAGTTTTATTAACTTTTGGCCTCAGACTCATCCGCATTCTAACTGATTTTGTTAATCAATTTAGTCTCAAACATTAGATATCTTAATCCAAACCTGTAGGAAAACTCATGTATTTTGCACTCATTATTTCTATTGAGAGGCAGCTAGGGCTGCCCCATGTACCAAGTTTATATATAATGTAAGTAATCTTTGCTTTTGTTCCAGGTTAAGTTTCTACTTGTTGCTGTTACTGTTGACGAACTTCTTAGTCTGACTGCTAAGCCGGAGGTCGTGGGTATTATTCCCACCCAAGACAATTATTGTGTGTGAGCACAGTCATTTGTTCTCTGTCTGGGTGCAATTTATCCATAATATGTATCTATTTAAAAATATATAAGTATGTTTATCAGCAGTCTGGTTAAAATAGCACAGGCACTGCCTAGTTTGGGATCAGACCGTCGTGTATGAGATGTTTGAGGCACATTATTATTATTATCCCTCACCTATACCACAATCAATGCATTCTATCTCCTCCGTGTATCACTGTAGCGTTAAGCCATAATGTTGCGTGAGGAAGTTAGAAATGCAACATTTAAATACATGAAGATTTACGTAAAGGTTAGGGTTCTTTCGTTTTTACAGAAATTATCGATTAGCCTTCTTTCTGTAAGGTTCCAAAAGATCCCCTATAGGCAGCACCGATGGGTGGTACAAATACTTTGATTTTGCCAATTGTAAGCAAGATAAATTATCTATATTATACAAAAATGTTAGGTTGTTTTGTGTACGCGTCAAAAACTCAAAAACCTCTGCACCGAATAAGCTCAAATTTTGACACAATATGCAAGCCGCTTTAAAGATAATTTTGATATATATTTTTGCATCAGATTTGTTCCTCATTCCTCATCAATGCAATGAGCACAGCGAAGTGTGGCAGGGTACAGCTTGTACTTTATAAAAGTAGAATTAACAAAATATCATGGGCCTGTCGTATGTACCTTAATTTTCATAAGATAAAGATGATATTGTTTATAAAGATGGTTTACATATCGTGGTTTACCTGATTCAGGTAATAATAAAATGTACTCAAGAAAAGTTAGTTGTTGTGGTCTACTATATATATTGTTAAGTTTTCATATTCCTTACTAATTAATGTAAGAAACTTTGATATTTATTTCTCATCAATGATGTTGTTTCTCCACAATAAATGATTTTAATAAATTGAACTGGTCTTTATCCTGATTATATTATCATTGTAATTAGGGTATTTTATTTAAAGGATTGTTACTCTACAGGGCAAAAGTTTAATATAAATAAATTCAGTCATTCTTAGAATTCATAATCGTTTTACTAAATTAAGATATTTTTAAGCTATAGATACTATTATCGATATATTAAGTATATAAATGTTGTTGGTTTGATTTTGAGACTTTTGAGACGACGACAAATTTTGAGACGATATACAACACGCTTTCAATATGGTTTCTCATAAATGCAACCACAATGTGAAGGTAAATGAACTCTACAATGAAAAGATTATATAAAAACATATTTAATTACATTTATTATAGTTTTTCTAGATGTTTCTATTATTTTTAGATGAGTCTTATTGGCAGTCTTTAAAAATACTCGTGTAGTATAATTTAATTGGCGCAACCTTGCAATCTATATTTTTTGGCGCTCCTATGCTGTGTAGTTCTGTAACTGTATAAATATTGTTTTTGTATATTTTTGTATAAAAATCATGAATTTAAGTGTGTTTTATTGATATAAGCATTTTATTACGGCATATTTCTTAATCTAATCTATTCAAGATCATAATCTAACACGTAATCATTTTATACATGATATATATATCACAATCATTTTACTTTAAAAATTACACAACAATCTCAGTGTACATAGGATGTAAAAATTCTATACCGTACTTACTTATCAAATCCATTTCTTTATTTGTTTTTGCAGTTAAATCATTCACATATATTTTTGAAATAAGTGTGCCTATTCTAAGAAATCAAATGAAAAAGAACAAGCTAGGAACTCCATGCTTTTTAAACATCTAAGTTATAGTATATGGGTTGAAAAAACATGTTCATTCGATTCTGGATAGAATTTAATGAAATCTGGCGGAAACTGAAGGTCATTGCGTGTTTTCGGTAGGATTTTTTTTCCAGCTTTTTCTAATTGTCGCCTAAAAAGAGTATGTACACGAAGTTGGTGCCCGCGCCGTTGAGGGCAGGCGCTAGGAGGGGTCCGGATGTCTCAATAACAGAAATTCCCGGATCCCTCCTATTACAGGTGCAGAGTGGCACAGCGTGTGATTTTCGTCGGTCTGATTCCGGTGGAGTGTCAGCCCGAGGGGGTTTCCGCACGTAAAAATAAAAAAGGGTAAGTCCTTTGCAAACATTTGAGTACATAGGTACTTACATACAATCACACTTGTATTCCCTAAATAGTAGGAGCTTATTAAGTACCTATAACATAGTCACCTATAATTTAGCTCTTCGGGTGTGGTCCCGTAGTAGAAGACGACCCTCTTGCATCGGACACTTTAGGCACGTTTAAAATGATTGGTATATTGAAAGTAAAATGTTGGTAAGGACGGAATTCGTATTTAGTAACAACATATAATATCATAAAAGGTATCCTCGTAACATCACGACTTTACTACGAGAATACCTTTTATGATATTTGTGAGATGAGAGTAGATCGGATCTGAATTGTTTTTGTTACGAGAATTGACCTCCTTGTCATAAATTACAAATATGTATTGTTTATACCTACTTCACAATAATTCATCCCATGGGTGTCGCAAGAGTCAACTAAGGAAACAAACTACGCAGGACAACAGCACTGCAAAGGGAAGAAAAACTTGAAAAAAGCCTTATTCCAACCCATCTGACAAGCGTGGTAGAGTAGGCCAAAACCTCCTTACGAAGAAGAGGTTATGTCCAGTAGTGCACTAGCAAAGGCTGTTGATGATGATGATTGTTAACAATTAGAAAACATTATTATAATTTTTTTACACCTAATGTTACGCAGGTAATGTTACCAATGTTCTAATAAATGGAAAGGAGTTGGATCTTGTGGACACCACCAAGTTTTTAGGTATAACACTAGACTCTAAATTTCAAATGGGCCCACACATTGACGGATTGTCGAATAGACTCAGCTCTGCAGCATACGCGGTTTACAAAATTCGTCAATTAACCGATGTAGAAACAGCTAGACTGGTGTATTTTAGCTATTTTCATAGTGTAATATCATACGGTACTTTGTTGTGGGGAAATGCTGCTGAGATTCAAAGTATCTTTGTGTTGCAAAAGAGAGCTATTCGTGCAATTTATAATCTCAGTTATAGGCAGACACTGAGGGATAAGTTTAAAGAAATTGGTATTATGACAGTCGCATCTCAATACATATTTGAAAATTTAGTGTATGTAAAGAAAAATAATCATTTATTCACAAAGTTTAGCGACATGCATAAAATAAACACTAGAAATAAAGATAAACTCGTGTTACCAACCACTAGACTACAAAAAGTAAGCAAGTCTTTTCGTTGTCAGGGTGTGCGATTTTACAATAAAGTGCCATTGAATTAAGTATTAACAAATTTAAGTGTTTAGTAAAGCTAAAACTATGTGAAAAGGCTTACTACACTATTTCAGAATATTTAGACGACAAATTTGCTTGGGATTGATGCTGCTCACTCCCACATTTACGTAGACATCTTTGTTGTTAAGTTTGAAAGTGATGGACATTTTTTTTTATTTTTTTTGGTGTATTTCGTATTTTGTTTTCGTATTTTATTTTTCGTTGACTTTGAATTGTATAGCATTTTTTTATTTTTTGTGTAAGTATGTAAATATGAGTATAGTGTAGGCTTGTAATGTTAATTCATATTTTATTATCTTTCTGGTGGTTTTGAGTGTTTCCAAGGCCTACCCAAATGTCCTGATGGCGGTAGTGTCATGCTTCGGGTCGTTGATCTTGACCAACTATCCAGGCCTATCCAGACCCCATACTGTACTCGCACAGTTTTATTTAACTTTGTTTACGGAATTAAAAAAAAGACACGCCGAAGAAAGAAGAGACAAACCACAGAGGTTTGTTTCGGCGTTTCTTCCCAGAGTGAGTCTTAGGAAATGCCGGCTCCTTCTAGCTATAAAGTCCGACTTGTAAAAATATCTGAAAAGATTTACTTACAGAAATAAATATCATCGATCATTTATACAGATATGTACATAATACGCACACACTCTTTAAAAAGTCTGAAATAAAAAGCAAAATTAAAAATTTTGACTAACCCACGAGGTTTAAAATGTAATCGAAAAACATTAAAATAATTAAAAAAGCTCCGACTTAACCAGATTTTGTAACGAAAGATAATAAACGTAAAAGCTTTATATAATAGAGTTGATCTCTCTTGCGAAGTCGTTCATATAAACAACGGAGTATCAGTTTTCATAGCACTTTCTTACGTGCCTATTTGTTTCTCGAAGATATACTTAGATGTGTCAATAATAAATAACATATTCAGGTGCCTATGAACTTAATAAACAACCAAAGAATATCC